TAGCTTAAATGATATAACAAATATCTTCTATTATGTCCCTAATGTTATATGTGACACAAGCAATACAATGTTTATACTCGATAATGATTAAAATAGACATGTGCATGCATAACAAAATAACTAGAGCGGATCAATCGTAGAAGAGATGTGAAGTGCAAAATAATTTTTTTTAATTTTACTTGAATAATAATTGAACTGACATGTGCATGCATAACAAAATAACTAGAGCGGATAAATCGTAGAAGAGATGTGAAGTGCAAAATAATATTTTTTTAATTTTACTTGAATAATAATTGAACTTTGACTAATCATGCTAGAGATTATTTGAACAAAAATCTAGCTTTACATAGAAATTATTTTTGATCATTGGTCAATACATCATGATTATTTATATGATATATATTTTAATGACACTCAAGAGAGTATTAGAGTGACTTAAAAGAAGGTGGGACATACTTTATTGAATCCGGGAATGTCCGAGAAACATGTCTAAGATATAGAGCATTATGTATGACAGAGAGAGAGAGAGGGATGGAGAGAGTCTAACTTTTATGCATGGTATGAACCTCCTATTTATAGGCATATATCTCAATGTTACAAAAGCACATATTAATCCCCTCATCATTGAATCTTCAGAGGGACTTCTTAGTAATTATAGAGTTATTTGAATGTAAAATGATCAGGGAACGGATTCGATCGATAAGAGTTCGTCGATCGTTCGGTAAACCTCTATCAGATCGATGTTTAATCAGAAAGTAAGCTTTCCGCCGATTGTTCTGATGGCTGATCACTGCATTGCGGGAAATCTTCTTGCACGTTCCGCCGATCACTCGAAAAGACGCTTCTCTAGCCGTTATCCAGCCTGAATTTGTTGTCAATCAGCTATGTTCGATCGGTTGTTTCCTCCTCCTGAACTGTTCATCTGCCTTGAGATTCATGTCGTCATATTTTATATGTATGCACTCAAATCTTTAATATCACATACAAAAAATATCATCATTTTAACTCTTAAAAAATAAAATATAATTTATAAATACACAGGAATTGAGTGGCATGCAATTCTTCCTCTAATCAAATTCGAAAAATAATAATAATATTTCTCGGGCATAATACATTCCAATATCTAATTTTCTTTTGATAAAGATTTTCTGTAAGTAGAAATTAAAAAGAATTAATATAAATTTAAAAATAAAAAAAATTATAATTTGAATTATTTAATTTTTAAAATCACTTTATATTTAATATTTCAATATTAATTTTAAATTTATAATACTTTAGTATCATTATTATCTTAAAATATAGGCATTAAAAGGTCTCTTTTATTTCAGAAAATCTATCATCAACAATATTTTTTAAGGTGATGTTAAATACCATACTTTTTTTTTATATTTTTAAAATTTTGCACTTTTAATCATGATATTTTGAATGTTAATGAGTTAATATTTTGGCAAATGTTTTTGAATGACACAACTAGAAAAGCATTGTGATTCAAACTACAAATCAGTATTTATGATAAAAAATATCTTCAATGAATTATATCATATACAAAGTTTGTATGTGCCAAACATACTAAAAAATACACATATTAAAGGTCTGTTTGTTGCAGCTGCAGTGGTTTGAAGAAAAAAATTGTGAAGTTGCTGCAGAATAAGCTGTAGTTTAAAAAGTTGTGGTAACTATTAAAAGTTTATTTTAATTTCAAAAAGTCAGAATGTAAACATCAACCACAGTTTAACATGTCAGGTTGAAAAAAATAGTTTTCTACCACAAAAATTTATAGAAAGTTGTCCCTCAAACAGTGCTTAAATCACATCTAAAATTGATCATCTTAATGATCACTTTGGCTCATTATATATAAGGAAATGTCCATGTGATGAATTTTGTGTAGTGAGATGATGTAAATTTTAGCATTATAGATCAATGCAATGAATAGATTGCATCATTTTCTTAATTCCCTTGGAGTATTCTAAAAGAAAATAACAGTAAAAAGATTATTGGCTGAAAATACAAGGTCATATTATAGAGTACAGGACTTTTGACTTCTTATTTATGCAAGCAAACTAGTTTGGTTAATGGTTGTGCAATGTGTGATAGCTTCAAACAAGTTTTAAGTAGGGGTTGAGTGCCTTGATCAATTTTTCATGGTGAAATCTCTTATCAATAAGTAAGCTCTTTATCGCACTCTTCGTATTCTGATCAAAATGGTCTTCTTAGCATCTATCCTTTTCAAATCTCCTTTTCTCGGTCACCCTCGCTTAGAAAATGATGGAAAAAAGGAAAGGCTGAAGGTGGAATAAAATTATGAATAAATAAAAGGGTATTTGCGAAGATATTTATATAGAAATTTTTTTTAAATATAAATTAGAGGAGCTGTCAAAAGTAAATCAGACTATGCTTGACTCAAGAGAACATACGAAAAAGAACCTATAAAGACTTTCATAACAAAACTAGGATATAAAATCAAATTTATTTTGTTCTAAGTTCAAAGAGATCTCTCACGACGACGTATTCTCGTGGTCAATTAAATCTTTAGGATTTTCCAGGAAGACTCTCGATAAGAGAAGTTATGTTTGTTTAAGATTGACTATGAAAAAAGGTTTCAAAGTGATTCTTGTAGTCTCAATAGAAGGAAAATTCTTGTCAACAAAGCATCAATGGGTTAACAGGTTAGAGGGTGAATCATTGTAATCTAATAGATAGCTCGCCTCTTAACGACAAGGGTTTACAAGACGAATACATGACTTTACAAAGGCGTACAAAAAGAGCTTAAAGAAGGCAACCAATGGTAGGTAGAAAAAGTCATTGAAAGGTAGAAATAGTCTGGCTAGGATTCTACAAAGCTATCGTCACAAGATATTGAGACTCTAAATCTACTCGATAGAGGAGGTAATCGACCTAATCCAACTAGAAACCACCTGTCTCAACCTCTGTGTTGTGTCATCTAGGATGGCTTAGTAGCCCTGAAGTCAAAAGGAGACATCTAAGCACCTATGAATCTACTTGGGTAGAAAAAAGGTTGTCCTCCTCGTGACTCGGTCGGTTTTGGATTTGGCTTGAATTATTGCATCAAGTCAGCTTTGCCTTTGGCTCAGATGGCTACATCTGGTCAGATGAGTGTGCAACCTAGGTTTTATATGTGCGCCCTCCTTTATTGTACTATCCTCTTGTAGACCGTTAGATCTCCTCGGGATCAGAGCTCGCATATTTTCGATGTACAGCTAAACATCATGGAGCAATCAATAAAAAATATAAATGTCACTATCTGGCTCGGTAAGTTTGGAATTAGCAAGACGGGAACTGACGGTCGGATGAAGGAGACATAACAAACAGTTTCATTTCATCACAAAAAAAAAAAACCAAAACACAAAAGTGTCATTCTAATTCACACAACTTATATTTAGGATAGGTTTTTTATATTTAAACATTGACATTCATATAAACAATAAACTAAACTACAATACCTATAAGTTGACACTCCACGGCGCATGCACACAGCACACGTGTTCCCTAGGGTCCATTTAATTCACAACTAGTTTTCTTGTAAAAAATATTAGCAATTATGGTTTGAGTTTAAACTACTAAGTGGATAAATGTTTCTAAATTAAAAATTTCATATTTATTTTTTTTTTTTTTTGTGTAAAAGAGCATAAAAAGTAAAGTAATGTGTAGCAAAAGAGAGAAGGAAAAAAATAATAAATTCATTTATTTATGTTAGACTTTTTATAATTGGGAGTTATAGTCTAAACTTATACTTTATAAAAATATAAGTTTATCATTTTACAACCCACCGTAAAAGCAGACAAACTTTTTCATTTTTATTTTGTGAATGAGTACAATGTATTCTCTTCTTGTCAGTACCATCCAAGGGTGACTCCATATGCATGCATATATCATATTTTATTCATTTTTATCTTGTATTTATCATTTTAATAAAACTTGCATTCAATATTTAAAAGAACTACCGTAAGGCCTAAAAATATATATATATATATGAATGATACTATAATAATGGCAATATAACTTTTACCAGTGATCAAACATATACATATATAATTAGAATTTGGAAGGGGATAATTGCATACATAACACTAGAAACATTACTATTTACAAAGCCAGGTTATTCAATCTAGATTATACTTTCCACAATATCATAAACAAAATTTTTATATTTAAATTATTTTTAAATTAAATATAATCTAAATTCATGTCATTTTGTTTTTAAATAAATATACTATTTGTTAGATTTTTTTAAATAAAGTTTTATTTAAAATATACCGTTAATTTTTTTTCCATTTTCCATTTAGGGCCCCACCTAAAGTTTTTTATTTTTTTAAAAAAAAAACGAAAATAATTCTGACCGTAGATCACCGTGATCTACGGTCAGGATCGAACACCGCATGCAGAGATGCATGCGATGTCCGCACGCAATAATCTCTCCTTGTTTCCTCCTACTCGTCTCGCAGAAGCCGACGCAGCCCAACAGTCCTGAGAACGTGACTCCACTCCATCACCTGTCTTCTTCCTACCTCCATTTTCTCCCATCCCTCTCTACCCCCTTCCCTGTCTCCTCTCTCTCCCTCTCTTTCACCAACGCAGCTACACACTCACGAGAAATAGAGAGGCAATTCCCAAACGAGAGAAAGAGATAGAGAGAGAGAGCTTGAATGCAGCTACAATGGAAACAAACGGCTTCCACCATCCCCTTCCTCTGCATCTTCTTCTTCCTCCTCTTCTTTTCTCCTCCAGCTTCTCCATCCCTGACTCCCCTTCTCGACGACCAAATCCTCGGCCTCATAGTCTTCAAAGCCGGCCTCCACGACCCCACCTCCGCTCTTTCCACCTGGTCCCCTGACGACATTTCTCCCTGCTCCTGGTCTCACATCACCTGCTCCTCCTCCTCCTCCGTCTCCTCCCTCTCCCTCTCCTCCCTTTCCCTCTCCTCTTCCTCCTCCCTCCCTCCCGGCCTCAATCTCCTCCCTTCTCTCCGCTCCCTCTCCCTCTCCTCCAACTCCTTCTCCGGCCCATTCCCTTCCTCCCTCCCCTGCAACTCCCTCCGTTCCCTCTCCCTCTCCTCCAACCTCTTCTCCGGCCCAATCCACCCCTCCCTCGCCCGCTGCTCCTTCCTTCTCCACCTCAACCTCTCCTCCAACCACCTCTCCGGCGACTTCTCCTTCATCTTCTCCTCCCTCACCCGCCTTCGCATTCTCGACCTCTCCTTCAATTCTCTATCCGGTCCTCTCCCTGTTTCCATTGCCTCTCTCCACAACCTCAAGCTCCTCAACCTCTCTGGCAACCAGTTATCCGGCCGCCTCCCTCCATCTCTTGCTCTCCTTCCACATCTCCTCTCCCTCGACCTCGCACACAACCAGTTCTCCGACGAGCTACCGAAATGGATTCCCTTCTTAACCGCCCTCCGCCGCATTGACCTCTCCGGCAACCGCTTTTCTGCAACAATTCCCACCAACCTATCAGCTCTGCAAAACCTCAACTTTTTGGACCTCTCATTCAACTCCCTTACCGGTGATATCCCTGCTTCGATAGCCGACTGTTTGAATCTTACGGAGCTCCGCCTCGGCGGCAATGCGCTCACCGGAAACATCCCGCCGGCGATATTTGGTCTGGGGCTTATTGTTCTCGATCTCGCCGGAAACAGATTTAATGGAACTATCCCTCCTGGATCGGCAAAGCTGGTGAATGCGCTTCAGTCACTGAATCTTTCTGGAAACCGGTTTGTCGGAGAATTACCGCTGGAGATGACGAAGTTCACTAATCTTCAGTACCTTAATCTCTCAGGGAACTATCAGCTGCATTCTAAGCTTCCCCCTGAGATCGGGGAGTTCAAGAATCTTTCGGTGCTCGATCTACGCAGCTCTGGTTTCTATGGCACGATTCCTAGCAATATCTGCGGCTCCGGAAGTCTAACTATTCTTCAATTAGATGCCAATACCTTCTCCGGCAAAATCCCCGAACAGATTGGAAACTGCTCCAATCTCCATTTGCTGTAAGTACAGCTATCCATTCATATAAAAATTTAAAGATTGGAAACTGCTCCAATCTCCATTTGCTGTAAGCACAGCTATCCATTCATATAAAAATTTAATTTTTATTGTAAATCTTTTATCAGCCATACAATAGTTATACTTTTTTCTCTTTTATTTAGGAGTTTATCCCACAATAAACTGACCGGATCAATTCCGGCCGCCATGGCCGAGCTAAAGAAGCTCGAGATTCTGAATCTGGAGTTCAACTCTCTGAGCGGTGAAATCCCACAACAGCTCGGCTCCCTCACTAAACTAGTTGCGGCAAACATCTCCTACAACCACCTCGTCGGCCGGCTTCCTTCCTCCGGCATCTTCCCCAGCCTGGATCAGAGCTCCCTGCGCGGCAATCTCGGCATCTGCTCCCCTCTCGTATCCGAACCTTGCGAGATGGACGAAATCCCCAAACCACTGGTTCTCGACCCAAACACCATTAACAAGGGGAACGGAAACAAGCGAGGCCCCCGGACCGACGGCGAGACTGAATCCCAACACCACCGCATCCTCAGCCTCTCCGCCATTATAGCCATCGCCGCAGCTTTCATCATCCTCGTCGGCGTCCTCCTCGTCACCCTCCTCAACATCTCCGCGCGTAAACGGCTAGAGAACGCCCTCGATACCATTCGCTCCACCTCTTCCCGCTCCGGCAACAAAATCGTAAATTTCGGGCCAAAAAGCCCCGAGCTTTCCAACCTCGCCACCGAATCTCTCTTAACCAAAGCCACAGAGATCGGCCGCGGAACCATTGGCGTCGTCTACCGCGCCGCCGGGCCAGTCGCCATTCGCAAGTTCCACCCCAACTGCGCATTACAGAATCAAGACGATTTCGACCGCGAGGTCCGCGCACTGGCTAAAGTCCGCCATCCCAACCTCCTCGCTATCAAAGGTTACTACTTTACCCCACAGATTCAACTTCTCATCACCGAATTCGCCGCCGGTGGCAGCCTCTACAGCCGCCTTCACGGCGGCAGCTCGCCCCTCTCTTGGCCGGAGCGTTTCCACATCGCGCTCTGTACAGCCCGAGCTTTAGCCCATCTCCACCGCGCCTTACGGCCGCCGGTCATCCACTACAACGTGAGGCCAAGCAATATCCTCCTCGACGCTAATGGCGAAGCAAAGCTGGCTGATTTCGGACTGAACCGGCTTCTGCGGCCTCGCCCTGATCAGCCGGCCGTCGGGCAGAGCATGATTGGGTACACGGCACCGGAGCTGGCTTGCGGGAGCTTGAGAGTGAGTGAGAAATGCGATGTGTATGGATTTGGGGTGGTGCTATTGGAACTCGTAACGGGGAGGAAGGCGGTGGAGTTTAGAGAAGATGAAATGGTAATGTTAGTGGATGATGTCATGACGGTGCTTGAAAGGGGAGAAGCAGAGGAATGTGTGGATAGGAGAATGGGAGGGTTTTTGGAGGATGAGGTGGTGCCCATGTTGAAGCTGGGATTGGTCTGCGCTTCGCAGATTCCGTCGAGCAGGCCAACAATGGCGGAGGTGGTGCAGATTCTGGAGGTCATTAAGGCTCCGGTGATTGAGAGGATGGCGACCTTCAACGGATGATGGGGACGACGATGCTGTTGTTATATAATTGTTATTGTGTTGGTTTGATAGGTATTGTTTGAATTGAATCAGGGTGAATGATTCAGCTGTGCTTGCTGCGCTTGTAAACCTTTTGATTTTGTGAGATGATGAATATATATGTCCATGTTTTGACATGAGGACTTTGCTGTTTTGGTGATTGGAAATATAGTTATATATTTGTTGTTCATTTCATCTAATTAATTTATATAATTATATTTACAATCAACCTACAAAAATACATTTTTTGCTCAATTGTTACATACATGTCATTGTCATATAACTATGCATGAAAAGATGTATTTTTTTTTTTAAAAAAAAAGTTATAATAGTGATATTTTTGTTGGGATATGAATGATGTGGACGGTATAAATATAAAAATTAAAGTTTAGATGTGTAAATACACAGGAATTGGATGATATGCATGTAAATTTCCCCTTTTTATTTTTATTTCAATTGTTTTAATTGTTAAAAGCTAAAATGTAATTTAAGTGTATTTTGTTCGTGTTCTCAAAAAACTGCGGCTAAAAACTGTGTTTTTCCACTTAACCTGACTATCTGCGATGGCTCCTTATGCATGAAAAGATGTATTTTTTTTTTAAAAAAAGTTATAATAGTATAATGTTAAGAAAATATATTTTATTTTTAAAAATAGCCATCATTATTAACTTATTAAAAATGAGATACACCTCATGTCATAAATATAAATATTAAAATTTATGTGTTAGATATATAAATACATAAGAATTGTGTGATTTATGTAGATTTATCTATAATTTAATTACATTTTTAAATTATTTATCTACTCATCTAATTGATACTAACCATAGTTTTTTATTTTCTCCATCTAATTTATTGAATATAGTTAGAAAATAAGTTGTACTTCAATATTATTATTATTATTATTATTATTATTATTATTATTATTATTATTATTATTATTATTATTATTATTATTATTATTATTATTATTATTATTATTTGAATGGAATGTATTAGAGCTTTATCATTTCATTAAGAAAGCACTTGCTTGAATGGATTAAAAACAAAAAAAAAAAAAGTGTCATAAATTAGCAGAAATCTAATTCGAAGAATCACGTGACACTTAGAGTCCATTGGGGGTGGCAGTGCGACACCACACAGCAGTTTTGTCTGTTTGGACCAATTGCATTTTGATAGTTTTTTCAAAAGTAGATACTGAAATATGTGTTTTCTCACCACTCCTGACTAATTTTTTAGCAGTGATCTGATTTTTTTAAAAAAAAAAATTATATTTGCTATGAAAATTTTTTAGCATCAAATTATTATTCAGTAGTTTCATGATTAATTTTTAATAATGTACAGCGGTAACAGGAAAAATTATTGCTTGTGGACACCGCACGCAAAATTTGTGTGCGGTGTCCGATCTTGACCGTCAAAGATTTTAGAATTAGCCCTACTCCAACAAAAAAAAAAAAAAAGTTGTATTTCAATAATTCAGATCAGACGTTACACATAAATTTACGTGTATTATTCGTACGCAGTAAGCTCCCCTGTAACATAACAAAACAGACAAATCCTTAATTAAAAAATATAGTGCATGAAACAATACAGAAGTTGCGTTGCTTTTTGGTCGCGGGAGAATGACAGGCAATAGAATTAGAGCAGAAGAAATGATAACGTGATAGTTTGGTCCCTGTACTTGACAGCAGAGTTCCAACTCAGGACTAATAAATAGACTGCTGCTCATTGTGCTCACATGTATGCACAATGCTGTCTCAATGCATGCAGTGTCATTATTGCTATTATTCTTTGAAATTATGGAATCTATTACCAGAATTATATTAAAAAAGAATAAGAAAACTTAATATTATTTTATTTATACATCAACTTGTGAGGAAGATTTAAGTGCTACCTTAGGGTGAGCATCGCTTTTTGAATAAGCACTCGTCATGTCAAGTCAGCTTAGAATATGCCGTTTTACTTCCAGTAGTCAGAGAGGTAGCCGATAGTCGGAACAATTGGAACTTTAGCTTGCACTCGAGCTGGCTCTCTTGAGATACGAGATTTCCTGAAAGTCAAGAAGACGCGCAGCGGGGCAAGGAATGAAGGAGCTCGACTGAACACCCACAAAATCTAGAAATGTAAAAATCAAAATTGAGGTCTTAGAAATGTAAAATCATATGTAAATGCCCTAAAGAAACAAGAAGGAATGAGGCTATATATTACCAAATACCCTGTTACATTAAAAAAAAAAAAAAAAAAAGGAGAAAAAGACAACATTGTTCAAAAAATAAAACTTAAAAGATGAGCGTCCAATAAAGAATAAAAGAAATTACAGAAGCAGCTGAATGTTACCTACCACCAAAAACCTTTTTTATTTACATATCTAACATGTAACACACTAAATTAATAATTTATCTTAATATCATCCAAAACACATGAGTAACACAAAAATATGTCGTTCACTCTTAGACTGTTGTGAATAAGCCAACCTGCTGTCATTCGCACGTTCGGACGACGACGTGGATTTGACCCCTCTATTATGCACATCAGTGTGATCGAATTTAAACCATTCATATGAAATTATGGGCGCCTCTGCGTCTAATATTTTCTTCTACTAATGAGCTCTGCAAGACTGAAGTTTTGCGGCTTTGCGTCGCAGTGGATGAGTTTTGTCTGTGATCAAGCGAGGAGGGAGACATTAACATAGTGGTGTTTTCGATGGTTTAAAAGAGCTTAGTGCAATGTTAAAATTATTAATTTAGAGTGTTTGATTTGTAAATAATAGAGAATTGTGTTATATGAATAAGTAGTAGAATGTAATCATCCAAATTAGAAATATTTTAGGAAACAAGTAAAGGATATAGCATAGATAAAAATAGAAGAAAAAAAATCATAAGAGAAAATGATTATATGCAAGAGTAGCCTTCATCTGTTATAGAAGAGCACCTTCTTCACCAAAATGGTAATGCAATAAAGACATTTTAGTTTGCTTATGTTCGACCCGTTTAAATCTAAAAATTAAATATAAATATATAACATGGTGAAATAATAAAGAGTTATTTTATGATTGTAAATCATATTCAATGGAAACTACAATATATTATTGAAATCTTGAGATATCTTATACCAATTGATACATAATCCAACTCCAACGTCAAGCGCATTTGAGTCAAGAAACTTCCCTATACCGGTACATCCAAAAATAGCTCTTCAAAGCAATAAGAATGATCAAGCACAAGCGCTAAATGGGCCTAAAAGATTGTGCCCATTTACCATACATTTTGGAGCATTAATCTTGACCGGAACATCCGCACATGCTAGCTATTCCATGGGAGGTGACAGCTGCCAAATTTACCTCTCAGAAGATTACACTAGTTCTTCTGACCGAGGCCACCCATAATAGGTATTCAAGCGAGCTTCTCCGACCATGTTCACCTACACTTCTCGAACTCTTCTATCGAGCTTGCATGTGCCTAGCGAGCTCTCCGGTCTAGCTTGTCTGTATTCATCAAGTTTGCTGAGACTACCAAAAATGGATGAGAAGGATTTCAGTGCCGATTTGCACTGTCTTTGAATCACATCCTTAGTTTTATTCACCGCTAGAGTAATTCAAAGAAGAAATCTCTCATTACTTAAACTTCTTAAAAAATTTTGTTGCTTGCTAAGATATCTTCGCTTTTTAAAATTTAAGATAAAAACTTAATTGAACATAAGAACTTCAACAACTCAGGCTATGACTGACATCAATAAACTAGAACATTTGTGAATTTCGGTTCATCTCATTTTTTGTGGAATCGAAAATTGTAACTCTAATCCAAACTACTAATACGCCTCGTACACTTGCGTTAGTCACTGGTGCTTCGCCGACTTGGAGCGGTGCTTTGCTGACTTGGAGCATGTCATTATCCTGCAGAAGAAGTTGCCCAAAAAATTAAAAGACCCAGGTAGCTTTACTATTATTTGCGTCACAAGAAAAAAAAAAAACTTTAGTGTGAGGGATTTGTGTGATTTATGAGCTAGCAACAACCTTATGCCTCTTTTCATTTTTAAAAGGCTAAGATTAGGAGAAGTCCAAGCCACTACCCTGATCCTTTAATTAGCTAACTGATCTATGATATACCTAAGAGAAGGATAAAGAACATTTCGGTTAAGGTTGACAAATTCATATTCCCTAATAGTTTTATGTTACTAGACATCGAAGAGAATAAATAAATTTTTTTAATTCTTAGTTAACTCTTTTAAGCCACCAGGCAAGTGATGATTAATATTCAGAAGGGAGAACTTATAATAAGAGTGAATGATCAGGAAGTAACTTTGATATTATAAAATATATAAATTTTCTCCAAGTCTCTAGGGATGATAAATACTAGAGTATAGATGAGATGATAAAAGTAGTTGATAGCCAAGTTTTTTAATCTAACTGATTGGACCCCAAAGAGCAAGTTGTTGTAGATGAATTTTGTTGAAAATTGATTAAAGGAGAATCTTCTTTTCATTTTGAGATGACCCTTAAATTTAATTAGGTAGAGGAGCCTATGAACACCATGACCAACTATCAGTCTATAAGACCACCCATAAAAGGAGCCCCAATGATAAGGTTGGAGATTTCCCTTGAGTGGAGAGAGTGTACCATTTTAGGAAAATATTCTATTATGTCCCTTTTGAGTGTGGATGAGTCGAGTGAATTACTATAGAGGGAATTGTGAAGGGTGTCAGAGAAAAAACTATTATTTTGGATGTACCATCCAATTTGACCCCTAACATGTGTGAAATTGAGAAATTGATGAGGGTCTAAACATTGGGTGTGAAAGAACACAAATTTTCTGTATGATCCTGGAGTAGGATTGACATTGGGTGATTTAGAGAACCCTCAGAGATAATTAAAAACCGAGACGATTGATCGGGAATTACTTAGATGCAATCCTAGAAAAACGTTTTAGGCTTGATATGATCTAGATGGCTGAGGATGTTAAACGAAACACTACTTAGGGAAACAACTAAGCTTTATCTTAGGATTTGATTCAAGCTTGAGTTTTTTTTGTTGTTTTGTGTGTTGCTTATGCTTTATTGTCTGTTAGATTTATGTGTGTTAAAATCCTTATAGGAGTAATCATAGCTTGTTTTTTGTCCTAGAGAGGACAAGAGGTGATTTAGGGAAGAGTTGGGGTGGCACACCCACACCCCCCTTAAAGAGCACCGACACCCCATACACTCGAAGGGACGCCCTTGTGCATGCCTTGAGCGTACCCATGCTTCGAGAGAGAGTGGATGGCATACACGTGTCCCCTGTGGAACGCACCCATGCCGACCCATGCAGATTGTGTGCACCCGTGTTGTGCTCTTAGGACACTCGCAACCACTTTATTAAATATTGATTTTGGGACTTGTTATATTTGTCATGGGCACTGTGATTGTACTTTGTACTTTGATTTATGTGATGATCGTTTTTGAGTTTAGCTATGATTATGAGTATTTAAATTTTTCACTCCCTTGAGGCTTTGGTATGTGGGCATACTTTGAGCGATGTTGATCTCTTTCCAATTATTATGGAATATATGTGAAATGTTACTATCTATTTTCATGATTTAATATTTTTATTCGTGCATTTTTCATGTGGTGAGCTTAGGAAAGAAAATAAGTTGGAGGGAGAGACTACACATATATGCTTGCCTGAAAGTAATTATATTCTCATGCTTAAACTCTATTCTATTGTAGTCACTTCTATTGCAACCTTTGTAATTTGATAATGTAATGTAATGACTTTGAAAACATTGAAAAGTTTCATCCAACATTTGAGTTTGTAGTTAGTTCAATAATAATCTAACACCTTACTTTAATCACTTTAGTTTATATATATATAGATAGATAGATAGATAGATTTTAGTCTATTAAACCGTGGTTGTTGATCTTTTTTAATCAACTGAATTTTTTTAAGAGATGATAAAATTCATGTTGGGTAGATGCTATTGATTGGTGCTGAGAGATGATCATTGGAATGTTGTACATACATATGGTGTATTTTTTAGATAAATCAATATTAGTCATACTTTGATGTGGCTTAAGAATAATACATTATATGAATAAATATAAAAAATATGATGTTGGATGTAAAAATTATGTGATATGCATTTAAATCATCTCATTGTAGTTTTATGGGAGATTTATATACATTTCACAATTTTTTTTTCTTTACATGTCCAGCACCTAAATATATATATGTGTATTATTTTTATAGTCTAAATCACATAGCACAAGCATGAAAATATTTTTATTTTAAACAAGTGTTAGTTTAGAATAAATGGTTTCTAATTGTTACCATCCAATTTGACCCCTAACATGTGTGAAATTGAGAAATTGATGAGGGTCTAAACATTGGGTGTGAAAGAACACAAATTTTCTGTATGATCCTGGAGTAGGATTGACATTGGGTGATTTAGAGAACCCTCAGAGATAATTAAAAACCGAGACGATTGATCGGGAATTACTTAGATGCAATCCTAGAAAAACGTTTTAGGCTTGATATGATCTAGATGGCTGAGGATGTTAAACGAAACACTACTTAGGGAAACAACTAAGCTTTATCTTAGGATTTGATTCAAGCTTGAGTTTTTTTTGTTGTTTTGTGTGTTGCTTATGCTTTATTGTCTGTTAGATTTATGTGTGTTAAAATCCTTATAGGAGTAATCATAGCTTGTTTTTGTCCTGGAGAGGACAAGAGGTGATTTAGGGAAGGGTTGGGGTGGCACACCCACACCCCCCTTAAAGAGCACCGACACCCCATACACTCAGAAGGGACGCCCTTGTGCATGCCTTGAGCGTACCCATGCTTCGAGAGAGAGTGGATGGCATACACGTGTCCCCTGTGGAACACACCCATGTCGACCCATGCAGATTGTGTGCACCCGTGTTGTGCTCTTAGGACACCCGCAACCACTTTATTAAATATTGATTTTGGGACTTGTTATGTTTGTCATGGACACTGTGATTGTACTTTGTACTTTGATTTATGTGATGATCGTTTTTGAGTTTAGCTATGATTATGAGTATTTAAATTTTTCACTCCCTTGAGGCTTTGGTATGTGGGCATACTTTGAGCGATGTTGATCTCTTTCCAATTATTATGGAATATATGTGAAATGTTACTATCTATTTTCATGATTTAGTATTTTTATTCGTGCATTTTTCATGTGGTGAGCTTAGGAAAGAAAATAAGTTGGAGGGAGAGACTACACATATATGCTTGCCTGAAAGTAATTATATTCTCATGCTTAGACTCTATTCTATTGTAGTCACTTTTATTGCAACCTTTGTAATTTGATAATGTAATGTAATGACTTTGAAAACATTGAAAAGTTTCATCCAACATTTGAGTTTGTAGTTAGTTCAATAATAATCTAACACCTTACTTTAATCACTTTAGTTTATATATATATAGATAGATAGATAGATAGATTTTAGTCTATTAAACCGTGGTTGTTGATCTTTTTTAATCAACTGAATTTTTTTAAGAGATGATAAAATTCATGTTGGGTAGATGCTATTGATTGGTGCTGAGAGATGATCATTGGAATGTTGTACATACATATGGTGTATTTTTTAGATAAATCAATATTAGTGATACTTTGATGTGGCTTAAGAATAATACATTATATGAATAAATATAAAAAATATGATGTTGGATGTAAAAATTATGTGATATGCATTTAAATCATCTCATTGTAGTTTTATGGGAGATTTATATACAATTCACAATTTTTTTTTTCTTTACATGTCCAGCACCTAAATATATATATGTGTATTATTTTTATAGTCTAAATCACATAGCACAAGCATGAAAATATTTTTATTTTAAACAAGTGTTAGTTTAGAATAAATGGTTTCTAATTGTTACCATCCAATTTGACCCCTAACATGTGTGAAATTGAGAAATTGATGAGGGTCTAAACATTGGGTGTGAAAGAACACAAATTTTCTGTATGATCCTGGAGTAGGATTGACATTGGGTGATTTAGAGAACCCTCAGAGATAATTAAAAACCGAGACGATTGATCGGGAATTACTTAGATGCAATCCTAGAAAAACGTTTTAGGCTTGATATGATCTAGATGGCTGAGGATGTTAAACGAAACACTACTTAGGGAAACAACTAAGCTTTATCTTAGGATTTGATTCAAGCTTGAGTTTTTTTTGTTGTTTTGTGTGTTGCTTATGCTTTATTGTCTGTTAGATTTATGTGTGTTAAAATCCTTATAGGAGTAATCATAGCTTGTTTTTGTCCTGGAGAGGACAAGAGGTGATTTAGGGAAGGGTTGGGGTGGCACACCCACACCCCCCTTAAAGAGCACCGACACCCCATACACTCAGAAGGGACGCCCTTGTGCATGCCTTGAGCGTACCCATGCTTCGAGAGAGAGTGGATGGCATACACGTGTCCCCTGTGGAACACACCCATGTCGACCCATGCAGATTGTGTGCACCCGTGTTGTGCTCTTAGGACACCCGCAACCACTTTATTAAATATTGATTTTGGGACTTGTTATGTTTGTCATGGACACTGTGATTGTACTTTGTACTTTGATTTATGTGATGATCGTTTTTGAGTTTAGCTATGATTATGAGTATTTAAATTTTTCACTCCCTTGAGGCTTTGGTATGTGGGCATACTTTGAGCGATGTTGATCTCTTTCCAATTATTATGGAATATATGTGAAATGTTACTATCTATTTTCATGATTTAATATTTTTATTCGTGCATTTTTCATGTGGTGAGCTTAGGAAAGAAAATAAGTTGGAGGGAGAGACTACACATATATGCTTGCCTGAAAGTAATTATATTCTCATGCTTAAACTCTATTCTATTGTAGTCACTTCTATTGCAACCTTTGTAATTTGATAATGTAATGTAATGACTTTGAAAACATTGAAAAGTTTCATCCAACATTTGAGTTTGTAGTTAGTTCAATAATAATCTAACACCTTACTTTAATCACTTTAGTTTATATATATATAGATAGATAGATAGATAGATTTTAGTCTATTAAACCGTGGTTGTTGATCTTTTTTAATCAACTGAATTTTTTTAAGAGATGATAAAATTCATGTTGGGTAGATGCTATTGATTGGTGCTGAGAGATGATCATTGGAATGTTGTACATACATATGGTGTATTTTTTAGATAAATCAATATTAGTCATACTTTGATGTGGCTTAAGAATAATACATTATATGAATAAATATAAAAAATATGATGTTGGATGTAAAAATTATGTGATATGCATTTAAATCATCTCATTGTAGTTTTATGGGAGATTTATATACATTTCACAATTTTTTTTTCTTTACATGTCCAGCACCTAAATATATATATGTGTATTATTTTTATAGTCTAAATCACATAGCACAAGCATGAAAATATTTTTATTTTAAATAAATGAATATTAATGATTTTTTATTTGATTTTAAAAAGCAAGTGTTATATAAATAAACACATAAATTTATATAAACGCATAGCCATTTCTCGCTTTGCGATTCCAAAAAATTATTACATACGGACACCGCATTTCTGCATGTGGTCTCTGATCTACACCGTCAATCACTGTAAAGATGTATTTTGAGTAGCACCATATTTTATGTTTTATTTTTTAAAAAAAATTAAAATTTTCCTCGATTCGACGCACGCGAAGCCGCTGGTCGGCGTTTCATCAACCAAGCTTCAGAGGGTAGATAGACAGTAGGGCTTTTACAGGGCAGAAGCAGGATCATGAACGCCCCCGATCGATACGAGCGATTCGTTGTACCAGAGGGCACGAAGAAGTATTCTTAAATCCATCTCCTTCCTCTCGACCTGCTTTCACTCAATTTTCGAGATTTCTCTGATCCTTGTGTTTTTTTTCTGCTGCTTTTGAACTCCTGTTCTACTCGGATTGATATTTTTGAAGAGCACCCAAGTTCTATGTGTCCTTCTCGCTAATTTTGGCAGGGTTTCGTCTGAGAGAGATACCAAGATTGTCAATGCAGCGTCCTTCACGGTCGAGCGTGAAGATCATACTATCGGAAACATTCTGCGGATGTATGCCCTATGTTTCTTGGAAATTACTTTTTTTTTATTCTTCTTGTTAGTTTAGAATAAATGGTTTCTAATTGTTCCCCTCTTCAATGGCTACAGGCAGCTACATAGGGATCCAAATGTTCTGTTTGCTGGATATAAGCTTCCGCACCCCCTACAGTACAAGATCATAATCAGGGCAAGCTATACTTCCTAGCAACAAACCTTGTTTTTTGTCTTGCCCCCTTCCTCGCGGTAGGGTTTAGGGCTTTTCGCATGGTTCAAACTCTCTTCTTGTGCCATGTAGATCCACACTACTAGCCAGTCTTCTCCAACCCAGGCATATACTCAGGCCATTGATGATCTTGACAGGGAGCTTGATCACCTGAAGAGATCTCTTGAGGTTTTTTTAAATGAAACTCTTTGTTCGTCTCAGTGTGTTGCCTTGTTTAGTTAATAATTAGTTTTCTCTTCTTGCGTCACTTTTTCTGTTGGTATATGTAGATCTTTTCTTTTGAAAATATCTTAAAGGCCATTAGCTGTTAGTTATGGAAGATATAAAGAACAGTTATTTCATTTTTTATAATATTGTGGCTATTGAGTGAATACATTTTGCGAACATAGTGATGACATGAAAGCAATTTCATCTAGTATGGTTAGGGATGCATGTTAGAGTCGTTTGCAATACTCATGCCACCTGTTTTTCTGCTTCCCTCTAAAATCAAGCCACAAGAAATAGCTTCTCTGTATAACTTCAATGGGGTTTGGCCTTAAGAAATGTTGTTTCGCATTTAAGCATTAGTTTTGTTCCTTTTGATTATTAACTTTTCCATCTCATGTGTTTTGTAAAGCATGAGAAACATATTATCTGCATATGGGGTTTGACCTTAAGAAATGTAGTTTCTCATTTAAGCATTAGTTTTGTTCCTTTTGGTTATTAACTTTTCCATCTCATGTGTTTTGTAAACCATGAGAAACATATCATTTCTAAATATGAAAATTTATGTACGAGACATGTAAATATGTAAGAATTGTGTGCTATATATGAAAAAGCTCCTTTTTTCAGTAGAAAACTTGCTGTTTAATACAGTGCACCAAAGTATATATATATATTTTTAATAATCATGTGTTTCAGTCTCTAAAATGAAACGCTTATGAATGCAATACCAATAAGCAATGTGGTTCTAGTGCTAATAGCATGTATCAGAGGCATGGCTGCTCACTATGAAAAGTCATGACCCTATAGAGTTAATATTTCTGACATTATTGGCAAGGAATGAAAACATTTGTTGTATACAACTACAAGAATTTGCTTGCCTGATCATGCTTTGCATCCAATAGTAAAATTTATTTCTATTAAAACTGGAAAGATGCCGAAATTTTACATTGCTTTTCTGGATAATTGGTATTGCATATGGTCTATCACCATGTTTTTCGCAGCATCTTTGTCCTCTCTCCTATCTTAAGCGTTCTTGAGCATCATTAGCTAAATTTGTCTGATCAGATCAGAAGTTTTTGATTTATTATTTTACTATGTTAGCTGTTTTGTAATTTGTTTCTTCCCATTTTTTGTGGGAAATACCAAGTAAATAGCTATAAAACTAATGATTGTGAAGGCTATGAAAGCGAGTTTAGATTTCTAGATCTCTAGCATGAGGCATTCCTTGAAATGAATAAATAAATAAAAATCAACCATAATTTGCTACAGTTTGGAAGCTTTCACATAAAAAGAAAATAACACAAGTGACACAATGCTATTTCTAAATGTCGCTTCCTTTCCATAAACTTTCTTTCACACAGTTACACAAGTCAATTCCGAAGCCATTGGATAAAATGTCCCTCCTTTTGGTGATGGGCCAAAATCCAAGGCAATATTGATAGAAACACCTTTTTTTAAGATATAGGAACTTTTTGGTTACGAGAATTCATAATACATGAGTTTAAAAATGCAAGTTAAAGTCAATGCATCATATTTTGATTTGTCAGTGCTATTTGGTTTGTGAATTAATTGTGGGAAAACTAATTTTTCCTGGCTTGATATTAGTAAATCAAGCGCATTTTAAGATCCTCAAAAAGTGCTGCATTGAGGTATATAAGATTAGATGACCAGACCTTATTATTCAACTGAAAATTCTGTCATTCTCAGCCACCCTACTCTGCATGTATAGGCAAACTGTAAGTGATTATAGTAGGCCTGAATCCCTTCCTCACCATCTTATTCCTGTAATGAAACACAACATTTAATTCTTTTTCTTTTATTTTGACAAGCAAGAAAAACATTGAAACTTGCATCACTAATTCCAATCCTTCATCTTACATCTTTGCAGGAAATGTAAAAGCTTCCAAAAGCCTCCCTTGTTTGCTCAAACTATAACCTAAAGCTCTATAAGTGCAAGAATCATGCATGATTCCCTTTTTCTTCATATCATACAAAATTTCTAGAGCACTTTGCAACATGAGCAATCCATGTGAATTATGATAGTATAAGTCATAACACTAGACTTGACCCTAGATACCTTAATGATTACCATACAGGCTTTTACCATTTTAATATCTCTTTTTTGCACATCACATCAATCATTATATTGTACATGACAATCTTTAACAAGGTCCTCAACTCTTGACATTTTTTCATACAGGAGCAATTAAGTCTGTCTGGTTCTTCACATTAAAACTCTTACTGGGAGTTGCAGGATACAATCTTTGGCAGTATATTAAGAACTTTAGAGTCTAGAGTTTTAACCATATTAGCAAATTTTTGATAGGAATGTAGGTGAAGATCAAACACTATCAGATGTTTCATGGGTATCGCTGCATGCTAGTTACAAAGTCACAAGCACAGAAGACCTATGAAGAGAAACTTTAAGGAGGCTTGGAGGAAGTGATTGCCTTAGGCGGAAGAGGGCAAGATCGTTAGATAGGAGAGTGGTAATGTTGGAAGGGATTGGAGTTTGAGGTGACATGACCTTAGAATGGATGAAGGAAGGGATGATATGCTGAGACTCTTTAAGATGAATTAGGGTAGATGTTATCAGTGGAGGGGAGATGAAGGGGTTACCATTCAGATTTGAGGATGAAATTTGCGATAAAACTGACGGTTCATTGATGGTAGAAGAAAAAAATAGGTGGTGGTAGAATGCAGAGGTGAGAGCAAGAGATGGAGTCGAAAGGAGAAACTTAATGCACTCTATTTGTATCTTTTTATTTGAAATGAAGAAAATTGTTATTTTTTACCTGCACTCCCTTTACGTCATCAATTACCCAAAAAATTAAAGTAAACATTTTACTTTGTAAATTCCATAATGATAAGAAGTATTGTTGCCATTTTTAATAATTCTAACGGAGGAATGATGAATAATAGAAAAACTAGGCTACCATGGGAAGAGAATAGCTTGCTTGTTGGGTTAGCAGCTAA